CACAGTTTGAGGTCAGCCTAAGCAAATAGTTTGTGAGACCCCCCCATCTCCAGAATAACCAGAGCAAAGGGGTCTGGAGGAGTGGCTCAAGCAGTAAACACTCAAAAAGCAATTCTCTTGGGAACAGAGCATCTGTGAGCTGGGGTCAGTGCTTGGTGCCTGTAAAGGAGACGTGTGGAGCACTGATAGCCACCCAGTCACCAGCTCTGAGTTAGTTCTGACTCAGAACCACCTCAATGCATTTCCTTCAGGACAGACTCACTGATATGAATCTGTGACTTTTAACATCCCCACCCCACCCCGGCCAGTTTTTCCTGGAGGCCAGTTTTCAGGTGATAGGGCATTTGGGAAAGGGAAAGTCAAATTGCTAGACCCTGACTCTTATTCAGTTATTTGAATGGGTGCAAATGGCACTGGGTAGTCTGCTTTACTGGGGTTTGGGCGGTTCAGGTAAGGAATGGAAGACTGACCAGAACACCCCCAGCAGGTGCTGTGGGCTGTAAAAACCCTGGGCTTAGATCACAAGTTCCTCAGCATGAAGGTGGAATAGACTTACTCATAAAATGGGTTCCTGATCTATAATGTGGGATCTGTGATGGTAGAAAGGAGAATTAGGGGTCCCTAGGACTTTTCCACCCATCCTGAATAGTAAACCCAGGGAAATAACAGATCAGTGTCACCATGCACCTTGGAAGAATTGGGGGAGGCGCTTTGGGGGGGGGGTCTGTAACCTCTTCTCATGAAAGAGCTGATGGACTTTTTTTCTTGACAAGACCAGGGTTTGAACTCTGGGAATTTGTGCTTGCAAAGCAGGTGGTCTGCCACTTGAGCCATACCTCCAGTTCATTTTGCTTTGGTTATTTGGAGATGGCAGTGGTGGTGGTGGTGGGGGGTATCTCAGGAACAAATTCCCTGGGCTGTCCTCAAACCTCAAAGCCTCCCAAGTAGCTAGGATTACAGGTGTGAGCCACCAGTGCCCAGAATGGTACCCAGAATGCCATGGATCTTGGAGAATGGAAGTGAAAACTGTTTGGGGGTGATACCTTCAATGGCAGCTGGTGTAACCAATGTGGGGTATCCTTCTGCAAATGACTCTACCCTGTAACTTGTTATTTAGCAAAGGAACTAGAAACTATTTTTTTTTCATGACTGGGGTTTGAGCCCAGGGCTTACACCTTGAGCCACTCCACCAGCCCTTTTTTGTGAAGGTTCTTTTTTTTTTTTTTTAAATAAGGTCTTGAGAACTATTTCCCCAGGCTGGCTTCAAACGTCAATCTTCCTAATCTCTGCCTCCTGAGTAGATAAGATTATAGGCGTGAGCCATCGGCACCCGGCCTAGAAAACGTGTTTTACTTCTATAGTGATTAACCCCCAAAAGTTTTCTTCCATCCAACTGGACATGCCGGGACTGTCTCCCTTGTCTCTGGGACCTACATCATTTTTATCAACCCCTATGTCATCATGCTGGCCCTCCTCACACTTAGGTAGCAGTGTATTCTCCCTGGAATAGACACCCACAGGAACCTCCTAGTTTCTCAGTAAATATTTGTCGACTGGACATATAAATGAAATCATTCCCTTCATATTTGATTTTGTGGCTCTGCTCTCTGCCCACCTCACCAGCCTCTCTTCTTAACTTTACTCTGGCTACACTGAAGTCCCTGTTGTTTTTTTTTTCCTCAAGGCATCAGGTGCTTACAAACCCCAGGGTCTTTGCACAAGCTGTTCCTCTGCTTGGCAACTTCTTTCTCCACCAGCCATTGTCTACTTCTCCATCTACTCCTGGTTGACCCCAGATACAGTTAGCTACTCACTCCTGTGTTTACAGCATCACTAAGCAAATCCTATTGTAATACTTGGCATTGTCTGTGGCTTTGCCAATTTTTCCTTTGTTTTGGCAGTACTAGAATTTGAACTCAGGTTCTTACACTTGCTAGGCAGATACTCTGCCACTTGAGCCACTCTGCCAGACCCTATTGGTCCTTTCTTTTATCAGAGTGCCTCAGGAAAGAGACAAGCTTTTCCTATTCATCTCTGAGACACAAGGCCAATTCCACACCTGGAAACTGATGAAGGTTCAAGAAATATCACTTCAGCCAGGCATGGGGTGCACACCTGTAATCCCAGCTATTGAGGAGGTGGAGATGGAAAGATTGAGTTTGAGGCCAGCTCAGACAAATTTAGCAAGACCCCACCTCAAGAACAAAATATAGAAAAGTTCTGGGAATGTGGCTCAGGTGGTAGAGCACATGCCTCCCATGCACAAGACACTGGGTTCAGTCCCTGGTACCACAGTTGGATCCAAGCCATACTGGATTATCCAAGTTTGCTGTTGGGATCCAGCTCTGCAACTACCATGTCCCCTGGACTCTGACCTGGGGTTAGATCTCCTTTGATCTCAAGAGTCAGACCCAATCCTTCCTGCAAGGTCTTCCAGTCCATTTGCTTCCTGCCTGATCTTTGCACACACACCCCACTGCTCACTCCTTCACCTAAACCTGCCACACTTGCCCTCTTCCTGGTCATGCCTGGGGGGAGCCAGAATTGAAATACCCAGAAAATGACCGGAACCCTACTGTGGAAGTCAGGCCCTGCTATCACCCCTCCTCACAAACTGAAGCAAGAAGTGAGGTAGATTCTGGGAAGGAAGACAGGGGGCAGGAGTGTCCTGGTGGCAGTCTGCCTTTGGATGCTGGAAGGTGCACATGTACAGCTGTGAGGAGGGCAGAGGCTGAAGCCAGAACGCCCCAGAGAATGCCTGGGAGCTGCTGCACTCTAAATCAAAATCTCAGTGCCTTCTGTGCAGACGCTAGTCCTCCACCCCATACACAGCACACTCCAGGCATCCCCCTTGGAAGCTGGGATCACAGTAGACCACAAGAAAGCAGCTGTGACCACAAGGCTACAGCAGGGAACCTGCCCCACCTCTTTTTCTTTCCAGACTTTGAGACTTGATCCTAACAACCAGGGCTTCCCGGTACTGTCCTTGATGCTGACATGGTTCTGAACTGAGGTCCCAGGATAGCAGGTGTTGGTCCTCATGGAAAAGCACAACAAACTTGCCAAGCACTGACTGAAGTGGAGAACACAGTACAAGTCCTAAGTGAATCCTGCTGACTCATGGCCAAAGCACCCTGCACCCAAGAGAGGCCTTCGTGATGAGAACACAGGGCCACTTAGTGAGGCAGGGGATGGCACTGTGGCAGGTTTGTCGGGGGTAGGGCAGGGCTGGGATGGCCGTATCATCCTCATTCAGGTTTTCATCAATGGTGCCAGCCACTTTCTAGGACAGGCCATCAAGTCTCCCTGTGCCCCACCCCTGAGGGAGGATCAAGCAAGAGTAGGAATTTTGTCAGAATCAGCCAGACACAGAAAACATTGATTAAAACATTTAAATAGCTGGTGGAGTAGTTCAAGTGGTAGAGTGCATGCCTAGCAAGCATGAGGCCATGAGTTCGAGCCCTAGTACTGCAAAAGAAAAAAAATTTTAAATACACTGCCCTGAGTGGCATAAGCCAGGACCCCACACAACCCTACTCCCGACAACTACAGGAGTAACATCCTTTAGCATGGGGTCCTCAAGATCTCTGCTTCAGCTCTACAGAAGCAATAGTTTGACAGTCAAGTGTCCATGTGTTGTGCCTTGGATGTTGGTGCCTCCTCATGTCAAAACCTAACCCCCAAGATGGAGTCATGAGGATGGAGTCCTCTGGAATGAGCGACCTTCTAAGGAGCTTGTTTGTTCATTTGCCTCTTCCACCATGGAAGGACACATAGAAGATACCATCTGTGAGGAACAGGCTCTCACCAACACTGAATCTACTGATACCTTGAACTTGGATTTGCCAGCCTCCAGACCTGTGAGCAATAAACTTTTTCTTTTATTCATATGTGCATACAATGTTTGGGTCATTGCTCCCTGCTTCACAATAAACTTCTGTAGTTTATAAGTTACCCAGTCTAAGATATTTTGTTACAACAGCCTGAACAAAACGAGGGGCCATTACAGACTGATGAAGAAGCACTTTCAGTATCACTCCTGGTTTAAGTAAGGATGCAAAACTCTGGGTGAGACCAGGGAGGTGGAAGGAAGGGGTAGCATGAAGTCAACTGCACAAATGAAAGGGGAAGGGACCAGACTTGGCGGGTGTACGGGTAGGGAGAGTCAGGTAGTAAGGTCAAGAGATTGAGGGAGTTCTCAGGCAGGCAGTCTGGAGAGCACAGGCCACTCATGAAGAGTGAGATTTTCAGATTAGTCAGAAAGAATGTGGGAACAAAGATGGAAGAGGCAGGACCATGGGCAAAGGGTCTGGACAGTTTTCCAGAGAAGTTGTACAAATGGCCAAGGAGCACATGCAGAGCTGTTCAGCATGGTAGCCATCGAAAACATGGAGCTCAAAACTGCAGTGAGACACCGCCTCACACAACCATTACCATGACTATAGATAAACCCAGGGCTGGGGGTATGGCTCAACTTGTGGAGCACCTGCTTAACAAGCACAAGGCCCTGAGTTCAAACCCCAGTACTGCCAAAAATAAAGATCCACAGATAACAATTATGGTGAAGGTGTGGAGAAATTAGAACCCCTGTGCACTGTTGGGGGGACTGTAAAATGGTGCTACTGCTGTGGAATAGTATAGGGGTTCTTCAATGTGTTAAAAATTGACAAAACAAAAATAAAAGGCTGGGAGCACAGCTCAAGTGCTAGAGTGCTAATATTCGCCCCAAGTTCAATCTTCAATACCATAAAAGAAATATTGAAAAAAAAAAGTGTTAAGCTAATGTTTAATGCACAGCTGTCATGCCAGTTACTCAGGAGGTAGAGGTAGAGGATCATGAGTTTGAGGCCAGCCAGGGCATAATAGCAAGACCCTGTCTCAAAAACAAAATAAGAACAAAAGGGCTGGGGTAAGCTCTGTGACAAAACACTTGCCTGGCATGTGCAAGGCCCTGTGTCAGTCCCCAGCATGCAAACAAACAAAAAATTGGGCAAGTGGAATTGGTCAAGTGGTAGAGCACCTGCCTGGCAAGCATGAAGCCCTGAGTTCAAACCCCAATACCACCAAAAATAAATAAATAAATAAATAAAATTGACTACCACACGCAATCCCACTTCTGAATACATAGGCAAAAGAACTCAAAACAAGGTCTCAAAAAGGTATTTGCATGTTCAGTCATAACAGCATTATTCATGACAGCTAGAATGTGGAAGGAACCCACGTGTCCATTAATCCACTAATATACGAGCCACCTGTGGTATATACACACAAAGGAGTACTGCTCAGCTTTAAAAAGGAAGGAAATTCTGATACACGCTGCACAGTGAACCTTGAAGACGCTATGCTATGTGTCTTTAGATATTATTCCTCTTCTATGAGATGCTTAAAATAGTCAAGCTTACAGAGGAGGAGGAGCGAGGATAGGGAGTTGATGTTTAATGAGTATGGTTTCAGTTCTGCAAAATGAAGAGCGTTCTGGAGATGGATGGGGGTGGTGGTTCAATGTTCTGCAGGCATGTTAATACCACTGGACTGTACACTTGAAAACGGCTAAGCTGGTAAATTGTGTATCATGTGCATTTTATCACACAAACACACACACACAAATGGAGAATAATCAGCTTTCTGCAGCTTTACTCCTTGATGTCAGTGGCCACCGAATCACGTGAGGAACTGATGTCAGTAGTGCTGCTTTTGAATATGAAGAATGGAGATGGACACTGTTAAGAGAAAACCAAATTAAAAAAAAAAACACACACTGAGATACCACTTCACATGTATGGTGCTATAGCTCAGTTCTTAAGTGTCCCCCAAAGCCCATGTGTTAAAGGCATGGTGGCCTCGGTGGTGCTACTTAGGATATGGTGGAGCCTTTAGGAGGTGGGGCTTAGTGGGAGGTCTTTAGGTCACTGGGGGTTGGTCCTCAAAGGGAATTGTGGGACCCATCTTTCTTCCTTCTTCCCAGTCATGTAAGCAGTTTTCCTCCACTATGGGCCCCCACCATGATGTGTTGCTTCTCTATAGGCCTAAAAGCAACAGGGCCAGTCAGGCGCTGGATAGCTCACATCTGTAATCCTAGCTACTAGGGAGGCAGAGATCAGGAGGATCAGAGATCAAAGCCAGCCCTGGCAAATAGGTCACGAGACCCTACCTCAAAAAACAACCATCATAAAAAAAGGGGCTGGTGAAGTGGCTCAAGATGTAGGCACTGAGTTCAAACCCCAGTACCACACACACACACAAAAGCAACAAGGCCAACCAATCACAGACTAGAACCTCCAAAGCTGTAAGCCAAAATAACCTTTCTCTAAATTGATTCTCAGGTATGTGCTATAATGACAAAAATCTCTCCTTTCTCCTCTCTACTAAGAGTTCCTAAACATCTGTCATGAATATACAAGTCTCCCTTCTGCTGTCAGAGTCCCTTATAAGCACATATCATAGACAGGAAGTCCAGTCAGGTCTTGGGGAGCAGCTATGACACCATCATGTCCTCAGATGCAGAACCTGAGGCCCAAAGAGGGTCAGTGGCTTGCCAAAGTCATACTGCTGAGGGCCGTACCTGGGTTCTTCCTTTTCTATTGCCACTCCCTTGTTATTTATCCCTTCCTCACCAAGTTCCCTCATCTCCTCCTCTGATACTACTGACTATAGTAGGTTGTGTTCCCTAAAAAGACGTCTTTCCTGGCCTCAGTTTGTACAGCCTTCACCTGTAACAAGGGGAGAACAACCCCATCCCCACCAGAGAACTTGCTTGGGCACCAAGCCTGGTTTATGGGGTCCAATCAAGATATTTGTTTGAGAAGCAGAGGCAGGAAGATTGCAAGCTCGAGGGCAGCCTGGGCTACATGGCAAGACCCTGTCTCAAAAACAAAACAAAAATACAGATGTGTGCTATGAACTGTGATCATTCCTCCCTGTCATCCTTCCCAAAATAATGGTAACACTGACATTTCAATGCCCACTTTACTCAGGCAATGAAAAAACATATTCAGAGCAGTGGGAAGGGGCAGTCGGATGGGGAAGGCTGACTAGGAACAGGACGCAGGCATGGTGGGGAGGACAGGATATGGGTCAGGTTGAGAAGCCTGGAATCCAGGATCAGAACCAGGGAAGGTAGCTGGAATCCAATCATGGATTTGGAATTGTCAAATGTACACGAATGTCATGAGCATCCAGAAGCTCTGCTGTTGTGGGTGTCTCGGGTGGCCCAGTTTTGGAGGCCCAAGTCCTTGTGGGAGGGGAGTGGACACTCACCTGTTTGGGCCCTCATCAGTGCATCTTGAGCCCTGGGCTCCTCAGGGCTGACAGGGCAATAAGGACCTGGGCTGCATAGTAGGTGGTCATGGTCAGCAGGCGGGCATAAAGCAGGGGCTGAGCAAAGTTGTCCCAGGCTAGCACACCATCAGAGAATGCAAAGAGCAGAGCACCCCAGCTGGCGCTCCCACCCTGGGCCATGCCACGCCACAGCATGGTGGTCAGGACCAAGCTGTAGGCGCCTACAGGTTGAACCATGTTTGGCTCCAGGTGTAGCAGGAGGAGGCTGTAGTACGCAACAGAGACCACGATGGTGAACAACAGCAAGCCCAACTTCAGGGGAGAGAGGCCGAAGGCCCAGAAGTAGAGGACGTGGGCGGCAGCAAAGGCAGCCGTGCCTGAGGAGAGAGAGGTGGGGCAACTGATAGGTAAGAGCCATCCTTGGAACTGCCCAAGTCATCTGCTTCTCTCTGGTGCCTTGACCACTGCCAGGTGAAGGAAAGAAATCCCCAAGCACCAGCTCCCACCTTTGCCATGCCACCACCATATCACCTGCCCAGATTGCAAAGCTGGATCATGGATGGTTTCCTAATTCTCCCACCCTCAGATGCTCCACCTGCTCTAGAAGCAGTGGGAATGATCTTAAAATGCTTGCTCCGCTGAAGTATCTGTCAACTCCCCATCTTGTTCTGTGAGGCCCCACACTCTTGATCTGCCAACCACTCTACTCTAGCCACCCTGACCTGTGTGGACAAAGGCTCTCATATGCTGCCACCCCAGGGTCTTTGCCCATCCTTCTGACCCCCATACACACAGCACCTCCTTCAAGACCTTCCCTAATCACCACTTCCTTGGCAAGGCCTTCCTCTATCACTGACACTCTCATTTTCCTCCATGCTACTCCCTGCCTTCCAAACAAATACTGCCTGATCCCAGCCCTGCCTGGGCCATGAGCTGCTGGTCACCACTGCCTCCTGGTGTCTCTGATCACAGCTTGGCTCAGCACAAGAGCTCAAGGGGACCCAACTGCATCCCAGGCTCACGTCCCAGTGTCAACTCAGGCTCCTCCATGAGGTCCCTGCTCACCGTGGAGGAAGGTCTCAGGCCAGATGAGGCAGGCATCCCCCACAGCTGAGCACACAAGGGCTCCCTGGAGGAGCCAGGTGTAGGCCCTGCCAGGAGCCACAGCCCACAGGAATACAGCCAGGCAGAGCACAGGCAAGCACTTGACTAAGGCGCTGAGAAAAGATGGCTGGTCCTCTGGAATCCAGACGAGGAAGTAGATGGAGCAGGTGAGAATGAAGGGGCTCAGCCACCTGAGGACCTGTTGGTGCTTTGGGCAGGGGAGAGTGAGCTGCTAAGTCTTCTGCACTCAGTCCAGCCTCCAGCCCTTTTGGGGGTCAGACCTGGCCAGTGCCAGGTCTCTCTGTGGACATGGTGAAGCATGGCTATAATCCTAGCACTTGGAAGACTGGGGCAGGAGGATCGTGAGTTTGAGGCTAGCCTGTCTCAAAAACAAAAAGTTCTCCCAGCTTCTATCCTGCCCCACCTCACCCCCAGACCTGAGCTGTCCAGGCTGAACCTACTCAGGGATCAGGATCTTCTGCCTCCCTGGTGACCTGGTCACCCAGGCCTCCTGCCCGCAAGGACCAAGAACTCAGTCCCCCAGGACGCGGTCTCCTAGGAGGGGCACAGGGTGGGGGATAGGGCGACCCTAATTAACTTCCCAGCCCACCCCCTACCTCTGCAGGCTCTCACTTGGACTAAGAGTGTCTTCAGGGTCAGCTCCTCTTTCCTAGGATCCATGTTGGCCTATGACATGCAGAGTGGCCTATATCTGAGAACTGGTGGCTTCAAGGAGCAGAGGGGAGGCCTTGTTACACGTTAACCCAAAGAGTGTCCTGTGGACTCTGGGACTGATAACAGGGTTTAGGGAGATGCTGCCCCCACCAGGGTGGTGGCCTTGTCTGGCACCTGCTGATAAGGTGCCCATGGGGACTCAAGGATCCCTCCACCCCCCACAGCCCCTTCCCAGCAAGGGACCTGGCCACCTCCTTTTGTCTGCTAGCAGTCAGGAGGTCTACAACTGCTCCTCCCATTATCCTTTGGCCAGCCAATCAGAAGAGACAATGCAAGGTTCCATAGAGTAGAGAAGCTGGGGAGGTGCCCATCCCCAGGACTAGCCTGGAGGTGAGAACAGGGACTCCTGCTTCTCCCTGCTGAGGGGTGCCCCACCACACACGCTGGCTGAATGAAAATTGAATTACATCCAGCCTACAGGCCTGGATGTCACCAGGAACAGGTTTCCCTCAATGATAGTGGTATACTGATTCTTCCCTGACCTTCCCCTGACCTCACCACCAGGCCATTATGACACCTACACTCAGGCACAAGGCAGCTTCCCTCCTTCTCCCTGCCCTCTGAAGCCCCCAGGCCCCCAGATTTCCCAGCAGGTCAAGGTTGTGGAGGTCAAGCAGGTCAGGCTGGGAGCCTGCCTGTGAAGAACAGGCACCTGAGGGAATGCACACCAGGGACAGAAGGGTCCCTTCCTTCTCAGATCCATGCTTCTTTTCAACATATCACCCTCCCTCCAACCCCATCCCTAGAGTGTTGTCCAACAAAGGTCACAGCCTCTCCTGGGACTCACTCCAACCCCAGTCCCAGAACTCAACATCTCACCACCAGGATCGTAAACTGTCTTCCTTTATTTATATTTGCAATATGAAATAGAAGCTCAGACGAACACACACACACTCAGCCAGCCTGGGGGAGGGAGCTGGGACAAGGCCACTTGGCAGCAGGGCTGGGACCCCAGGCCCTTAGGGCACAGGGGGCCCAGCCAACCCAATTCAAGGCCTGGGGATGTTGCCAGGGAGGCCCCGCTCCCCCAGGGCCAGGTGCCTGGGTCAAAGTGCAGGATGTGGGCAAAGGCACGGCCTCACTTGAGCCCTGACGCCCTCACCAGCTGCCCCCCAAGGTGGACCTGAGCTGAAAGGCCAGGCGTGGGCGTCTGCACCAGAGCATGGAGCATGGGATGGGTACACAGGCAGTAGCCTCGAGACCTCCAGTGCCAATCCCCACTGGGACAGCCAGGGAGATTGTGCTTCGGAGTCATTGGCCCAGTACAGCATCCTTGCTTCCTTTCTCACTCTTCTCCCTCAATATATATATAATATATAATATACGGTTCTCTCTCCTTTCTCTCTATGTGACTCTCTATCTTTATTCTAGGAGGCAAAGCTCCGTAATTTCTCTTCTCAGTGCAAATGGGGTGGGTGAATGGGGCCTGTCTCCCTGGCACCAGCCTCCTGGCAGTCCAGAGGAGACAATGTGGGGACAGGGTGAGGGGAGCAGGGGGCAATCAAGGACCCAACCTGCCTCACCCGGGGGTCCATGGGGAGGACAGAGGATTTAGCCACTGCTGCCCCCAGGCAGCTACCTAGGAAAAGAGGGAAACAACTGTGAGAGTCTAGCAGTCCCATTTCACACACCACCCCCACCACCCCAGTCTGTAGCCACACTCACTGGGAGCCCGGGAAGACAGGACCTCCTGGAGCAGAGCCATTGGGCATTGGAGCAGACTCACTGGCCTGGGCACTGTCAGGGGGAGAGAGGGGACCAACAGTCACTTCTGTCCCATCTCACCCACCACCACCCCACCCATTCTAGGGAGACTGCCTCACTGCTCACCTCTGGCTTTCGGGAAGCCCCAAGGGCTCTGGGCTCTTTTGCCCCTCCATAGTCTGGGGGGGCTGCTGGGCCCCGGAGGCTGGGACAGAGGTAGCGGGGTCTCTGGTTGCACTGTGGGCAAGACCAGTGAGGCTGTTAACTCCTCACCTATTACCTGCAGATATTCTCACAGCCCAGCCTGCCTGAAGGAGCCTCCGGTGAGAGTGGGACAGGCACCGAGTAGGTGCTCAGAAACCATACAGATACCTATGAGGATGCAGATGGCAGAGTGCGGTGGGGCCACGCACCCCAGGGGCTGTCCCCTTGCAGCCACTGTGCACCCAACTCCTTCTGATTCCTCTCACGCTCCTGGAAACCTTTCCTAACTCTGGGGCTACAAGGACCACTGTGTGAACTCTGACCCCACACATGTATTCACTAAACAAACAACCCACAGGCATAAGGCAGCTCTTGGACAAAATAGCCCAGAGCCCACCTCAGCAGGGAGGCTTGGCTTGCCCCTCACCCCCAAGTACCCAGATGGGACCCACTGGTCACCTGTCCAAGGAGCTGGGGGCGGAGCGCATCCCATGCAAGGTGGCCTGGAGGTTCTCGACACTAACCAAGGCCTGGCAGGGGGCTATGGAGGAAGGAGACAGACCATATTTCAGTTGCCACCTCCCTGCAAGCTCACACCTGGCCAGGCTGTAAACAGCCTGAGACAGTACTCAGGCCCTTGGTGGGGGAGGGCCTCACCCAAGGACTCTGCTAATTTGCTGCTATCTGTGGCTTCCTGAGGTGCTGAGGGGGAAGTGGCATCCTGAGACCTGGGAGGCGAGAGAAAAACCCAAAAGCATGACTGGGGTTAGCACCTGAGCCTGAGACAGGACCACGACTCTGGACTGCCTCCTTGTCCAGATATCTGAGACATGCCCATCTGCCTGTAAGTCCCCACCTGAGCTGCAGGGCATTGTGGGCTGGAGGGCTGACCGGGGTCTGGTCAGGGGGTGTGTTGAGGGGCCTAGTCGGGGCTGCAGGCCCAGATTGCAGCTTCTCCTCCTTGGAGACTCGAGGACCCATCGGGTTGTCCATAGGCACTGTGTTGAAGTCGGCTCTCCAGTTTGGGCCTGGGGCAGAGGTGGGGAAGCAGGGACAAGAGGGTGAGCTCATGATAGCAAATTACCCATGTGTCCCTGACCATAAGCCACCCTACACTTACCAGGAGGCTGAGGGCTGGGGCTGGAGCAGAAGGGAAGGCCAGCCCCCACACTGGCTGCCCGGCCATCCCCTTCCTCTTCATCATCTTCTTCCTCGTCCTCCTCATCATCCTCGCTGTCCGTGCTGCCTGCACTCCTGCCCCAGACACCACTTCATTAGGTGGCCATGCAGGGAAAGGTTACTGACCAACTCCCATCCCACTGCAGCCAAGAGCCATAGGGCAGACAGATGATGTTAAAAGAGGACAGGGAGAACTTGGGGAAGATCCTGGGTGCTTAAGAGTATGAGGATACTGGGAGAGGCCAGTGGGGAAGGTGAGTCCTGGGTCATATGGTAGGAACCTGAGTGAACTGAGCACAAGAACAGAGACGGCATCTCCACCATGTCCTCCAGGGCTGGAGGGGCCCTCAGGTAATGTCAAAACTCAGCCACGACGACAGACAACGCCACCAACTCTCAAGTCACCTGTGACTACCAGCAGCGTCATCTACCACTCCAGGCTTTCCACCTCCTCATCCATGTTCTGAACACACTCTTCCTCCAATTAGAAACTCCAGAAAAGCAAGACGGCTGGACTTTTGTCCCTGCTGTACTCTTAACCCTAAGAACATCAGGCCACCCAGTTGCTCCAAAACAGCTTGAATGTTGACTGACAGACAACTCATGACCACAAGGAAAATCCCAACAACCTACTTTCCATCAACTGGGGAAGGATTAAGCCAACAACAGTCATCCCTGGGTATCCGTGGGGGAATGAACACCAAAATCCAAGGACGGTCAAGTTCCTTATATAAAATGGCTTCATACATCCAAAAAAGAGAACTACAGGCCAATCTCCTTACTGAACATCGATGCAAATCCTCAATAAAATAATGACAAACCGAATCCAACAACATATCAGAAAGATCAGTCACCACAACCAAGTCAACTTCATCCCAGAGATGCAGGGATGGTTCAACATACACAAATCCATAAATATAATACAGCACATTAAGAAAAGACAAAAATGACATGATCATCTCAATAGATGCAGAAAAAGCCTTTGGTAATATTCAACACCACTTCATGATAAAATCTCTAAGAAAACTGGGATTAGATGAACCTCAAATAGTATAAAGGCGACATACGACAAACTTATAGCCAACATCATACTTAATGAGGAAGAACTGAAACCATTCCCCCTAAACTTAGGAACAAGAAAACGGTGCCCATTCTCCCCACTCCTATTCAACATAGTCCTGAAATTCCTAGCCAGAGCAATAAGGCAAGAAGAAGAAATAAAAGGAATACAAATAGGTAAAGAAACTGTCAAAGTATCCCTATTTGCAGATGACATGATCCTATACCTCAAAGACCCAAAAAACTCCACCCAAAAACTTCTAGACACCATAAACAGCTTCAGCAATGTAGCAGGATACAAAATCAACTTATAAAAATCAGTAACCTTTCTATACACCAACAATGAACAAACTGAGAAAGAATATAGGAGAACAATTCCATTTACAATAGCCTCAAAAAAAAAAAAAATCAAATACTTAGGAATAAACTTAGCGAAGGATGTAAATGACCTCTACAAGGAAAACTACAAACCACTGAAGAAAGAGATCAAGGAAGACTCCAGAAGATGGAAAGATCTTCCATGCTCATGGATTGGCAGAATCAACATCATAAAAAGGGCTATACTACCAAAAGCAATCTACATGTTCAATGCAATTCCCATCAAAATCCCACTGACATTCATCACAGAGATTGAAATATCTACCCTAAAGTTAATTTGGAAACACAAAAGACCACAAATTGCCAAGGCAATACTGAGCAAAAAGAGCAATGTTGGAGGTATCACAACACCCGACTTCAAACTATACTACAGAGCCACAACAATAAAAAACAGCCTGGTACTGGCACAAAAACAGATACGAAGACCAGAGGAACAGAACAGAGGACCCAGATATGAATCCACACAGTTATACCCACCTTATTTTTGACAAAGGTGCTAAAAACATACAATGGAGAAAAGACAGTCTCTTCAACAAATTGTGCTGGGAAAAGTGGCTATATGCCTGCAGAAAACTGAAACTAGATCTGTGACTGTCACCCTGTACTAGTATCAACTCAAAGTGGATTAAGAACCCTTAATATCACACACGAAACCTTACAGTTTGTACAGGAAAAAGCAGGGAATACCCTGGAAACAGTAGGTATAGGTGAGGACTTCCTCAGTTCAACTCCAGCAGGCCAGCAACTAAGAGAAAGGATGGACAAATGGGACTACATGAAATTAAAAAGCTTCTGCACAACACAAAAAATGGTTTCTAAATTCTAGACCACCCACAGAGTGGGAGAAAATATTTGCTAGCTATACATCAGACAAAGGACTGATAACCAGAATATACAGAAAGCTCAAAAAGCTAAACTCCCCCAAAATCAATGAACCAATAAAGAAGTGGTCAACTGAACTAAACAGAACTTTTTCTAAGGAAGATACCCAAATGGCCAAAAAAATACAAGAAAAAGTGCTCACCATCCCTGGACATAAAAGAAATGCAAATCAAAACTACACTAAGAGGGGAGAGGGAACAGGAGGAGGGGCAGAGGGGAGAAATGGCCCAAACAATGTATGCACATATGAATAAATGAATAAAAAAAAAAAAAACAAAAAACACACACCAAGATTCCACACCTCACTCCTGTTAGAATGGCTATCATCAAGACCATCACCAGTAAATGCTGGTGAGGATATAGGGAAGAAGGAACCCTCATACACTGCTGGTGGTAATGTAAGCTAGTACAACCACTTTGGAAAACATTATGAAAGCGCCTTAAAAAACCCAACACAGTCTGCCATGATCCAGCAATACCACTCCTAGGGATATACCTGAAGGAATGCAACATAAGTTATTACAAAAGTACCTGCACACCCATGTTTATTGCAGCACTATTCACAATAGCCAAGCTATGGAAACAGCCAAGATGCCCCACTACTGATGAATGGATCAAGAAAATGTGGTATTTATATACAACAGAATTTTACTCAGCCACAAAGAATGAAATTTTGTCATTCGCAAGTGAATGGATGGAACTGGAGAATATCATCTTAAGCGAAGTTAGCCAGGCTCTGAAGGCCAAAAATCGCATGTTCTCCCTCATATGAGGATTACAGACCCAAAACAAATGCAGTAATATTACTGGACATGGGTCACTCACTAAGGGTACATGCATGGGAGAGATAGGGAAAAGAAAGGAAACCTAAAACTTTAATGTGGTTGATGTGCTCCCTGTTGAGGAGCAAATAAAGTAATCTAAAATTGGCAGAGGTCACTATGGGAAGAGGACCAGGAAGTAGTAAAGAGATCTGGTAGAGATGAACCAATGTGGGTTGCAACACACAAGCGCATGGAAGAAACACTAGGACTCTCTCTGTATAGCTATCTTTATTCCAAACTAGCAAAAAGATACGTCTTTCTTATTATCTCTTATGTTTTCTCTTTAACAAAATCAAAGAACTGTGTGGAACAGGTTCTGCCTGGAAGCGGGGGTCAGGTGAAAGGGGGTACAAACAATGTATACACATGTAAGTAAATGTAAAAGCGATATATATAATAAGAGAAAAATACAATAAAATGGTGTCACAATTGCACATAACCTCTGCACGTCCCTTCATTAATTTTAAATCATCTTTAGATTACTTATAATTGCTAATACCATGTAAATTCAAATAGTTTTTGTACTAGGGAATGATCACAAGCAAAAAAAGTCTGTACATGTTTAGTACATAAGGAACTTTTTCCAGAATATTTTCAATCCACAGTTGGTTAAATCTGCAGATGTAGAATCCACACAAATATCTGACTGCACTATTTCTTTCTGAGTTTTTTTTTTGGTGGTACTGGGGATTAACTCAGGGCCTTACACTTGCCCAGGCAGGAGCTCTACCACTTGAGCCATGCCTCTAGCCCCTGACTGGACAATTCTAAAATGTCAACTACTTGTTGGTTCAACATGTTATTGACAATTTTAACTGGAAACACACACATCTGTATACAGTTAAAATGCAAATCCAACAATTGAAGGTGGAAAGAACTCCCTCAACCTGATAAGAGGCATCTACAAACCTATGGGCAATAGCAGACTGACTGACGGACAGTCAATGTTCTCCCAAATCAGGAACAAAACAAGGATGGCTACTCTTGGCACTTCAGTTCAACACCGTGCTTCAGGCTCTCGTCAGGGAACTTAGCAAAAAAGGAAAGAAAAGGCACCTAGACTACAAAGAAAAATGTAAAACTCTCTTCAACAGAGACATGATCTTCTATGTAGAAAATCCTGAGTCCACTAAAACTATCAGAATAAATGAGTTGCTGGAGACAAGATCAATATACAGAAACTTTACAACACACAATTCCAAAATGATTTCAAGAAAACTTCACTTATGATAGCATCAAAAAGAGTAAAGTACTTAGGAATAAATTCAACAAAAGAACCTATGCCACAAACTAAAAACTATAAGACATTGCTGAAAGAAACTAAAGACCTAAATAAACAAACACCCTCCAACACTTGTTGGCAGATCTGAAGATGCAATACTGTTAGAATGGCTATCTACCTAAATTGTCCTCAAAGTGCATGAAATCCCCAGAACTCTAGGGTGGCTTCTTTTTTGAAACTGACAAGCTGACCCTAAAACTCAAGGATTCCAAATAGTCAAAACAATCTTGAAAATGAATAAAGTTGTAAGAGTCATAGTTCCCATTTCAAAACTTACTACACAGAAAAAGCAATGAAGACAATGTGTCTTGGTAAACAGGCAGGCATGCAGACTGATAGAACAGAATAGAGGACAGAAATAAGCCTTCAAACACATGCTCAAAGGTATCTTACAAGTGTACCAAAAATGTTCAATGGAGAAAGAAGAGCCACTTCAGCAACTGGTGTTGGGAAAATCAGTCACAGGCAAAAGAATGAAGTAGGACCCTCACTCACACCATATACAAAAATTAATTCAAAATGGATTTAAAAACTCATTGTAAGAGCTGGCCATACAAAATACAAGAAAACAGGAGTAAATCATCATGTTGGATTTGGCAATGACACCTAAGAAGATGTCTGCAGCAGCCTACTTATGATGGAGAACAAGAATCTGTCTAGACGTTTGTTTACTGTAGAACCAGTAAATCAACTCAGCTAGTTCCCTCTATGGCAGCCCTCCACATGGCTACAGAAGCGAAGCCCAGACACACCAACCAGATGGGTGGATCTCATGAGTGAATCCCTGGACAAAGGAAGCATCAGTGAGCAACCTTTACCTGAAAATACAAAATCATAAATGCTCCAAAACCCACACCACCTGTGGTCCCAAGCATTTCAGATAAAGAATGCTCAATCTGTACTGTACGATGATGTGAAGGGGAACAAGAGGCAAAGCTGATCTATGGAGCAAAATGTCCGGACAGTAATACCCTTGGGAGGGAGGACAACAGCCAGCAGAGGGAACTGGGAGGGGCTGGCTCCTAGATCTAGGTGCTGACAAAAGGTTTTCCATTTGGCTGTGCATGTAGGGTTTGTACACTTATCTGTATGCATGTTACAAGTCAACTATAACATTAACACAACATCCTCATTTTCAAAACACAACACTCTTATCTTCAAGTCATAGAGCAAAGGTTCAGAGTAGCTCAGGAGCTGGCAGAAGTACACGACACAAATCCGTTTGGTCACAGTGACTGCAGTACAAAACTGACCACAACCTAATCTGTAAGGGATGTAACATGTCCCATCTTCCCCCTTTACTGGAAAAGGTGTCTGAGAGCTCACCCAGGACCGCAAGTGGTTTCCCAGGCTCTTTTTCCTTTTGTATCTGAATTGGGTTTTTATCAATCACAATGAAAGGGCCCCAACTAATATACTGATATCCCTTCCCAATTTTCACAAGTCCAACACATCGGAAGAGTCCTGCAGCTCCCTAAGCAGTGGGAGCACAAAGAGGGGGACTCACCGGACACCAGGGGGCTGGCCTGTGCGGACTGCCCTCACTGGCTGGCTACCCTGCCAAGCACCGTATTCTCCATCTGACTCCGCTGAGCCCTGGCCCTCCTCCTCCTCATCTTCCTCATCATCATCAAACTGCTGGATGCGATCCTTATAGCATATCTCGAGCAGGTTGGCATTGGGCTGTGGGAGCAAGGCAGGAAGATGGGCTGTGATGCTGCAGCCCACTCATGCACCCCACCAGCCACAACATGGATGGGCAGCACTCACATTCTCATCATCAGCATTGAGGGAGAAGGTGATGTTGGCCGTCTTGTCAAATGGTGCACTAGGAGAGAAGGCAGAGGTGTGGTGAGACAGCCATGGGGTGAGGGCAGCAAAGGATGAGTCCACGTCCTCTTCCTTCACTCACTCAACACATAGCAACCCTCATTACTCAAATTTGTCTACTCTCTAAAACATGATTGTATCCCTAGACTCAATACTCACAGTGCTCTCTGGTCACTGGTGAGAGTTGGATTAATAAATCACCTGTCTCATATTCCCAGCGATCTGTTCTCAAGGGAAGTATCTTTATCTCTACCCTCCAACATCAAAGTAGCCTCCTTCATGTGCCCAGAGGACAGGACAGAGGGAGCCTGCAGTGCAGGAAGCTGTGGCAGGACAGGTCTGAATCCTACTCCAGCACCTGTCTGCGGGACACTCTAGAGCAACACTTCCAAATTACATCTCGTTAGTAACATCAAGGAAACAGAATCTACCTTTGATGAGTGCTTTCAAGGATTTAAAACCATAACCTATGTAAGAGTTTTAAAGACAACTCCATGTCTCCCCTCAAAACAATGGTTCTGGTTGTACTGGTGCAGGGTTCATAGCCACCATGCACAAAACAAGCCAGGGAAAAGTGAGAACAGGACACACCCAGTTCAGCCATCTTACTGTGTAGGTCTCCAGCTAAGAATCAACAAGAAATGCAAGGGAAACCATTTGCTTACTCATATCAGGGTATATTTGGTTTGTGGCTACTGTGCTCTTTCTTGTCTTTGGTGACAAAGCACAGTGCCAGTGAAGAAGCAGGTCCCAGCCAGGAACTGCCCACCTGGAAAATACCCAACAGAGCCAGACACCAGTTGCTCACACCTATAACCCCAGCTACTCAGGAGGCAGAGATCGGGAGGATTGCAGTTCAGAGCCAGCTCAGGCAAATAATTCACAAGACCCTATCTCAAAAAAAACCCATCATGAAACAGGGCAGGTGGAGTGACTCAAGGTGTAGGCCCTGAGTTCAAAACTCAGAACGGCAAATTAAAAAAAAAAAAAAACAAAAGAATGCTGACCATGTGCACTGATGCAGCAAGACCATGTGAATCAGACAGATCTACAGTGTGTTGTTAAAATTCTAAATATGGGCAAAAAGAATCACCTTTGGAACTTAAAAAACTCAGGCCAGGATCCCACCACTCCAATCATGAGGCGCTCGCTCAGCTGGCACAGGGCACAGTGAGTCCACTCGCATCCACCTCCCACTGTCACTGAACCAGCACACGCACCTTTGTTCAACTCTTCCCAAGAACCCCAGAGAAATGCAACTCCTAGATTTAGAGATGAAACCCACACCCTTAAAATACTGACACACATTCCTAAAAAGGCCTGGTTGGTTTGTCCCCTCCTAGCAGAGCCTGATGCAGCTTTACAACATTGCCTGCTTGCTTTGAGTCTTCTACCCACTTTTTCTACCTTCTAGAATGCTGGTCTTTCTCCCATTGTGTGGTAACAGCACTTTCTACACAGGGTCCATGCTCTGCCCAAGGGTGAGGGGTACTTCTTAAGTTCAGGAAACTTGATTATCCACCACTGACTTGGTGCCAGATGCTGCTCACACAACAGATGTTGCTCATGGGCTCCATTCTCTCAACAACTCTACAAGGGGAAGTGTCCTTATCTCCTCCCAAAAATTAAAGCAGTGGAGGAGAGCCCATCCAGGGTCAGGCAGCCCAGCCAATTTCCACACTGCATCAAAGCAGGCACCTCTTAGCTGCCTCTCAACTGCCTGAGCATCTCCTGCAACTGGAACCCTGAAGGGCAGCATCTTACCCTAAGATTACACATCTACCCAGTTTCACTCCTAGAACTCCTTCATGAGTTTGATTTTTCCCATGGTGAAAGAGAAAGTAATACAGCTTTGTCCTAAAAGCACAGCTGGTCATCCCAATACCATCCACCAAGAAGTCAGCCCACCCCATCAGGCTAGGATCAGGTTTTTACTTGAGTGCCTTCCCCAAGTTCTTAGTACAGGGCCCTGATCAACAAGAGGCCCAAATCCTTGGCAGAGAAGCAACAAACACAGGATCCCGTGGCCACATTTAAGGAGACCTCTGTCCAACTATGCACACAGAAGGCCACAGCTGACTGTAGCCTATCATGTGTTCCTGTGCTGTGCTGCACAGGGACCATGGCATGGCTGTGGCAGCAATCCAGCTCCCACAGCAATGAGCTATGTCTCAGGGTCTCAGTTTACTTGGTTGTAATGGGCTCAAAAGCTCTGCTCAAAGGGTGGCAGTTGGGATTATCACGAAATGACACCTGAGGTGCATCTAAACTACCCTTGGTGACGATGTGGATGCCCACTCCACACTCCACCAAGCCAGCCCTCTTCATCTGCTGCAGGGAGCCTTCATATCCAGCCCTCTCATGGCAGTATCTACTTTTCAAATTAACACTGTGGATTCATGCTCCACAAGTCATCTCATTGAGGCACCATTCCCTGCACTGTACCCTGTGCTCCAGGAGTAGAGACCTGTTCTTCGTCCTCAGCATGGAGGACGTTTGCACCTCACACTCACAGCCTTCAATGTGGGGAAGGAAGACTTGCTGCAGAACTGGGGCTCTAACAGGAGGTGAATGCACCAGGCCATGGCCAGTGTGAGCCCAGAAGCAGTGGCTTCAGGATGGGCCATGGTGCACAAACAAGCGATCAAAGGAAAGAGATGCACACAGGCTCACATGCCATCACAAGGTGGGCAGCACCCTCATCTCGTACAGGGACACACAAGCACATGTGCTGCCACTGGCAGGGCAGAGCCCCAACCTCCCATGGGAAACACTCACTTCACACTTTCCTCCTGCTCCCCAAATTCTTCATCATTAAAGCCAAAGTGGTCAATGAAGGCAGAGGTCATGCGTTGCATCTGGAAGTCCATGAAGGCCTGCAAGAGGCATAGAAGTTGGGGCTGGAAGGGTGCCGAGTAGGAGGGGTTCTCCCCATCCTGTGCAGGCAGGTGCAGCCCTGGACCCACCTGTTGTAGCACAGCTTCCTCAGGGAAGTTGAACTCCTTCAGCCGGTCATCTTCATCATCACTGGAGGAGTGCAGGTGGTGGGTGTTCACCTGGGGACAGCATGATGGAGGGTGGTCAGGGTCTGCTAGAGCCCCCTGAACAAGGGCAGGAACTGAATCAAAGAGGAGAGGCACAGGAGCTGCTGCAGCAGACACTGAACCTCACCAGATCCACGGTGTTCTTCTTGTTGGTCTCAGCCAGGGGTCCTGACACAAATGCCTCCCACCGCTCGTGCTGCTCAGCCGGCAGCTCTGCACACATGGGGATGGAGAGAATGTGAGGTGTCCCTCTCAGTCTCCAACCCTTCCCACTCCCCATGTCACAACTTCAGCCAGCCCCATGCCTCACCCTTCAGCAGCTGTTCCAGCTGCTCAGCGTTGGGTCCCTGCTCTGTGTTCTGCACCAAGGCGTTGGCCACTCGTGTCAGGTGACCCATGTAGCCCTTCCTTGGGCCCCCCCCAGACCTGAGTGTGAAGGCCACAGCTGGATGGCAGGCTGGAAGCCAGGGTATTCAGGACTCCAGCCCATCCTCCCAGTGCCTTGTCTTCCCTCTGCCCCATCCACCCCACAGGAAGGCACTGTGCTCACTGCATGCGGTCATTCTCCTCCCAGGATGTCAGGATCCGCTCCACTAGGCGGCAATGCTGCAGCAACTGTGAAGAAACAGAACAGGGTTGGCCTGAGAGAGTGCACGCACCAGGGTAGGATACTTACTAAGCAAAGCATACTTCAGGCCCAGAGGCAGACGACGCTGGTCTCTGGCTTTTGCTTGATTTTGGTTTTTTAAGACACAAGGTCTCTCTATGTAGTCCTACCTTAGCCTCCTGAGTGTTAGGACTAAAGATGTGCACCACCGTATCAGTTGTGAGTCCCTGACTTTCTACGTGGAGCGTGTGACACATGTGCACACATGAACAGACGTGCACATGGACTCAGCCACTCTCCTGCTCACAGGCCCGCCCCCCCCAGCATCCTCGCCCCTACTGCCTATTGCTGTCATGGCATTGGTGCATAATTCCCTTTTCTTTCCAGCTGTCTCTCCCTCACACAGCATAGGTGCTGACACCTGATACTGTCCAACAAACACAAAAGGGGCAGAGGATAGGCCTCTGGGGAGAGTGTGCCCTCAGGTACAGGTCTCCAAGGGAGGAGAAAAGGGAACCCCGGCTCACATGTTTCACGACAGGGTTCGGGACAGGTGTCTCAAAGCTGCTGTCAGAAGAGAACCCTGAGCTCAGCATGGCACTCACACACAACTCCACTTGAGCATGCAGGAAGTTGTTGAAGACGTAGTGGAAGAAAAGGTCCTAGAGTGGAGGCACAGGTTGGCACTAGAGATGCACCACCCCCCACCCCCAGCCCTCTGTTCCCATCCTCTATACCAGCAAGGTGTTGGGCACGTCCAGCACTAGGAGCTCCTGCGTTAGGGTGGCATCATTGGCACTCAGGGCACTGGCCAGGAGTTTGACCACGTGCAGCCTCATGTTGCCCAGGGGTGGGGCCAGGCTGCCCCATGTCATCTGCAGGGGCTCCAGCTGCAGATGCATGGGAGGCTCAGTTTCCGAGGGCCATCTTCTCTTCCATCCCCACCTCCCCTCAGGACCACAATGATCCCCACGTCCCCAACCTTGGGAGGCTCGAGCAGGAGTTGGTGAAAGTGGCCAAGCCGTGGGCGCAGGGCGTGCAGGGCACCTGTGCTGGACACCACACTATCCAGGGCCCCCTGTGCCAGGAGTTCCAGCTGCCCATCCGCACTGCTGAAGAAGTTGTTCATGGTCACGGACTCAGACCTGCAGCAGGGCAGGATCAAGGGCAGAGTGAGCCAGACAGGCCTGTGCAAGAGCAAAACTGCAGCCTCATACCCACAAGACACAAAGTCAAGACAAGCAGGACAGAGAAGAGGGTGGGGGGAAAGGGGCAGGCCTCTGGCTGGGGAAGGACAGGGAGCCTGGGCCTGCCACAATTTGCACGGTGGCCACCAAAACCTTCCTCTAAATCTGAGGAGCTGCAAAGCCACGCAGGCAGGGGCAGTGTGCCATCTCTGGCCAGCATTCCTCACCTTGGCCTCCTGGGCTCCAGTAGGGTCAGCAGTACCTGGATCCCACTGACGATGACAGACTGACTCTGTTCCCCCTCAAACATGTTGCTCAGGAGCTGCTCGATGGTCTCCTGCCTGGGGAGAGGGTTCAGAGTGAAGGGCCAGGACTCTCCAGGACAGCTCCCCTCCCTGAGCCTTGGCACCTGTCCTGCAAACCCACTTCTCCAGGGTGGCCAACAGCTGGTCTGGCTCCGGGCTCTCCTGGCCTTGGATCATCTGCTCCCGGCTCAGTCGGATGATGTCGCACAGGGACTGAGATGCATTGGAATGTTGCTAGGGAGGGGGGAGACAGCACCCAAAATGAGCTGACCTTCGGAGAAGGGTGGTTACGAACTGGGACATGCGCTACAAAGGAGAGAGCACAGAGGTACCAAAGGCTTCCAGAAAGGAGAGATGCATACCCACACACTCAGCACTACCTAAAACCAGATGCCCATCAACTGGTGAACGGAAAGCTAAGCATATATAGCTTATCCATGCCGCAGGGTTATTACTCAGCCAAGAAAAGGAATGAGGCACTGACATATGCTAAAATGAGGGTGAATCTTTTTTTTTTTTTTTTTTGCGATACTGGGGCTTGAACTCAGGGCCTTCACCTTGAGCCACTCCACCAGCCCATTTTTTTTTTTTTTTTAATGAAGGGTTTTTTGAGATAGGGTCTTGTGAACTATTTGCCCAGGCTGGTTCTGAACCGCAATCCTCCTGATCTCTGCCTCCTGAGTAGCTAGGATTACAGGCGTGAGTCATTGGCACCCCGCAAATCTTTTTCTTTAGACAGTACTGGGATCAAAACCAGGGCCTTGTATATTCTTGACAAGTGCTCTACAGTTGAACTACACCCCAGCCCAAGGATGAGCCTCAAAAACACTGCCAAGAGAAAGAAGCTGGACACACAAGATGGCATAACGTATGATCCCATTTGCAGGACATACATAGGACAAGTGAATAAGGAAACAGAAAGTGGTCTGGCTGCCATGGGCAGAATGGTAAGGGAAACTGAGAGGGGCTGTCAATGGTCACAGGATTTCTTTTCTGAAGCATGAAAAATACTGCAAATTTGTGGTGACAGTTACACAACACTGAATATACTGAAAGTCACAGAATCATAAGCTTCAGTGGGTGAGTAGTACAGAATGTCAGACAACTCAATAATGCTGCTACAAAAAGGGAAAGAGAAGCACAAGGAGAGCAACAGATGTAACTCAACAGGCAGTGATCACACCTCAGGCCCCTCATAGGCATGTGGGAGGACATGGACACATGGCTACTCAGTGCTCCCTTTTCTCATCATTCATCTTTTCAAGGGGGCAAGTGGAGTGAGGGCAGGGATGGAGGGAATTGGTGAGAGAAGCCAGAGAGACTCACATTGTCATCCTTCGATGGGTGGATCTGCTCAATGAGTCGCTGGACAATCTTCTCCTCATTGAGCCACTGAGGGATGAGGATAGGGCTGCATTAGGTTTCTAACCACCTGCCCCCCACTCTCCCCGCCCTGGAGCAGGCCCTCCTCACATTGAAAACGTCCTGCCGCAGCTGGGGCCGCTCCACGCAGGTGAGCAGGCGCAGAAGAAGGTCCATGATAGCTGAGGTGCCTATGTGCCGCAGTAGCAGGTCCACAAAGTCATCCTTCTTGCGCAGGAAGGACACAAGCTGGGGGCAGAGGGCTGTGTCATGGTACAGGGTCCCAGATTCCATATTCCCACCCCATCTAGGTGCCAAGGGGCAGCAGGCACCTGGTCTGTCTTGCGGTTGATGAGGATACCCATGACCTTGCTGAAAAAGCTGGCAAGCAGTGGGTTGAGGCTGCCACTGCTCTGCAGGAAGCCGTAGAGTCGGTTTAGGAGGGACTCATCTGCTCCCAGGGCATCATTGATCTGGGGCACATCAGAGGTCAGGATCTCACAGGCCACACTGGGGTACCTGAGAGACAAGCATGATGGGTAGGGTTTCAGAGAGGGGGCAGAAGGCCCCACCCTCCTGCCCATGCCAGGCACTGGGCTCATGGGGTCACATGTCCAGCCAACAGAAGTAAAGGGGAACCAAAAGCCCCCCTGTGCCCTCCCCAGGCCTCTGTGAGACTCCACCAAGCCAATCCACTACCTTGATCCTGGTCCTGTAGCAACTGACCTACTGACCACTAAAATTTCCATCCTTCCTGACATTTGCATGTCCAGCCCTGTATTGCCCTAGTTCAGGCAGACTCTCTCCTTGCCATGTGAGCCTCCCCACCCACCCTCAGGCTACCTTTCTGACCCTGTAAACTCATCTCCTTGTCTCCCTTCTTCAAACATACTCAACACACATGACAGTTCCAGGACAAGGGCCCACAGTGGCACACAAGGTCCCGTGGGACCACCATTTGCTCCAAGTCTAACAAAAACTATGGGGGAGAGACCCTTTCAGTGCCCCTTCCCCTGGAAAGCAGGCTCCTTAGGGCAGGACAGGGAACCTAGGGACCAGCAGGGTACAAGTGTCAAGATGGAGGTTGCCTCAGTGTCCACAGCCCACTGGATGAGGAAGTAAAAGTAGATGAGCAAGAGAGAGGACGTAACTAAAGAAAAGGCCAGAGCAAAGAAGGAAGATACCCAGTGGGATGCGGGTGACACCTGACAGAAAGTTATCTAGGAGCACAAGAGACACTCTGTGCCTTCCCACAAAGGGGCCAGCAGCAGTAAGGGAACAATCATGCCATAAGCTCCACAACTGGCACTACCTTGCCATGTTCCCCATAGAATGGGCAAACTGAGAAGTAGCCATCATTCCCACCCATCTGACTCAAGATCTCCAGGACAGAAGTCATAGAGCAAGACAGAGGGCAACGCCGCAAACTGGGTGGATAGTTGGGAAAGGCACAGATGTAAGGACAGTGGAAGGATCTTGCAGGAGCAGCAAAATAGGGAAAAGCAGCAAAACTAGGGAACACAGTCCCAAGTCCCCAGCAGGGCCCTGTCTACCTGGTCCTGCCTCTCCCAAGCCCACACCCTTGTGCCCCATGCATGTGGCAGTAGAGAGGAGAAGCCATGCCTCCTCCACCTACAAAGAGCTCCTCAGGCCATGAACAATGGTCACCAAGGATGGGTAGGAGGAATATGCAGCAATGCCCTCTCAAGGCTCAAAATCCCAAAGAGACATAATAAAGAACCTCAGGTTGAAAAGACATGGTCTGGAGTCTGGGGTTTGCTTTACACCACACAGGGAGCCCACAGGATCTCTCAAGGAGTACATGGATCAGGAATACAGCAAGCCAAGGATAATCTCAGTAGGACCCTACTCCTCACTCTCAATGAAAAAGACACACTTTTTCCCCCATTGGTTTGACTCAATCTTTAGAGAATGATGTTGAAAAAAGGCCAGTCCCAAAAGGTTACGTACTCTGTGATACACTTCATAACACTTCCAGATGATACAATTTTATGAATAGAGGACACACTGGTGGTTACCAACAGCTATGATAGAGGTGGGCATGGTTATAAATGGGCATAGGAGACTCCTTATGGTGACAGAAGTGTTGAAGATACTGTAGTGGTGTGGATATAAACCTAGGAAGGTGGTAAACTTAATCCCTGCACAGACACAAGTGAGTGTAAGTAAAACGGGGAGCCTCATTTCAACAGGGTACAGGTTGACTGTATCCGTGTTATCATCCCCACAGATACCCTACTAGAGATCTGCAAAACGTCACTGCTGGGGGAAACCAAGCAATATCTACTAGAAATATATTATCTCCGACAACTGGGTTGATTCTACAGTTAACCTCAGAAAAGATTTTAACTGCTAAAAAGACACTAAGGAAAAAAAGTAGAGAATAGTTAATAAGTGAAATGAGATTGGCAAAACATCAAGTCTTGTCAAGGCTGGGGAAGGGTTGGTGGCACACATCTGAGTATGTCTGGAGAATCCCATTACACAAAGCCTTTTGAAGTGGTCTGCAGCAGGGGGTGAGGGGATGTCTACACCCAGGGAAGCTGTGTGCCCCTGGGAAGAGTCTGGTTCTTCCTGTGTTGGTTCCTCATTCCCAAGTCCCAGTTACGGAGTCCAGGGTGGGAGAGGAGGGGGCTCACTTGTAGCGCAGCCGTTCCTCGCCACTGGCTGGTGGCTCCTGGGTGACCCAGGCCACCATGGCCTGCAGGTGGGGTGGTTGCAGCAAGAAGTCCAGCAGCTTGCGGTTGACGACCTTGCACTCCTGCAGCACGTCCTCCTCATCCAGCAGCTCGGGCAGGCTCAGGTCCTCCCGCTCCAGCAGTGTGTCTAGGTGCGAGCTTGTGTGCAGGTCAAACTTCCAAAACATGGCGCCCTGCAGACACCACAATTATCCAGTCAGATACATTTGGGATCCCTGCCTGGATGAGGCACCGGCCACAGCTACCACTCTCAGGTCAAGCCTGCCCCTCCTGGTGCTGCCTGCTAGCTCAGTACTGCCATCACACATGCTCAACGCTCTGACCAAGACTCCAAGCCACCTTCCCTGCAGTCCAAGGGGTCACTCACATCCAAGGCCAACTGTCTGACCACCCTCAGCCTAAGGCCTAGTGAAGTCCTCAGTGTGGACCATGCAGGGCCTGCCAGGAGGCTAAACACTACAGAGTAACCTCAACCCACCCCCACAAGCCATGTCCACTGTCAACACATCTGGGCAGGGACACCACATGAAATTCTGCCTTTGGATTTACTTCATTTGATTTGTATTTACTGAACAAATTCAAATGCCCCATGACCTCCAGTGCACAGCTGCTGCCCAGCCCAGCAAATCACTCATGGCTGCTTGCAAAGTATGGGTGGTAACAGGGTGGGGGGGGGAGGAAGTCTGCACATCTCGAGGCTGTGGCTGTTGCCTGGACACCACACACACAAACACACCCCAACCATCCTCTCACCACCCCACGCCCAGGCCTGGGACAGGGAAGAGGAAAGTTGGGGGGAAGGGACAACTTTTGTCCTGGTCAGTTGGCTTCCAGACCAGGCAGTAATCAGGGGCCAAAGGAACCTATGCTAGGATAAACAGTAGAAAAATTAAGTGGGCTACCAACACCTGGCACCTTAGCCACCTTGGCACAGGTAACTAACCAGCAATGAGGATAGCACACATGGAGACTAATCAGACACCAGATGATGGTGCTGTCCTCAGCCCGACTTGCACTAAGGCATCACTCCTCAAAAGAAGCCTATAAGGCTCCAGAAACCATCAACCTGTGCTTGTGCTTATTCAAAAACTATGCACATGACACCCAAGCCACAACCACCCCCACAGAAGCTGTCACCACGCCATCAAATGGGATTTTGGGGGGAGGGGTGCTGAACCCAGGTAAATTGGAAGACTTCCCAGGCCTCACAAGCCACCTGGCCCCAAGGATAGTACCTATGTAACTCATGCCACAGGTGCTGACCAGTTATGCTCTTTTATCTGTCTCCTAAGGGCCACACAACCATCTGAGCCACAGGCCACTGCTGCCACAGACCCACCTCAGGGAAGCTAGGATATCACAGTGTCAGCATGGTAGGCTGAGGGTGCCTCCAACTAGGCACATAGACACTAAGTCCCTTTCCTATGATGTCCTCCACACCATCTCTACCTGACTCTTCCATCCAGGTCCAGCCATTCCCCCTGCACAGACTGTCTCCAATACCCACTGCTCTGAAACCTAAGCGACTGCCAAGCCCCAGGAAGGACACACAAATAAGAGTCCCAGGCCCAAGTGAGACTTCTGGGATCAGGGCAGAGCTAGCCAAACTATGGGCTCAGCAGGTGGATGGCTTCCCGACCCTAGTCCCTTTCCAAGACATTACCAGCACCCAGCTCTTGTCTATGCCACAGCATGAAGACTGAGGCAGGAACCTCTTAGGCTGGAACTTGCTTCCTGGCCATCCATCACCTCAGTTACTCTACACAGCTCTATGGGGCATGCTGTGGGTTCCTAAGCCTTGGCAGATGACTCCAACTGAAGGTGGAGTGGAGGAAAAAGTTCTGTGATAGACAACAGTTATGATGGAAAGGTGTGGGTAGAGGAGACAGTAGCAGGGTCCAGCCCAAGGCAGGGTGGGAACAATAGAGAGCCTCATTCCTTTGTAGGCCTCCCAGGTTCTAATCCACAGCACTTGGAGACTGGCACTGTAGCTCACCACTGCAGGCTGCTTTCCCAATAATCATTCTAAAGCACAAACTTTAATGCCTTGTGTTCGTTCTGACCAACAGCCTTATAATGGGTCCCCTAGTTCTGGGTTGAGGACCCCCAGGCCTGGTCCCTGCCCATTCCCAGTTTCCCCTCTACTGTGCCCCACCTGCACCTACTCAGTAACATGCAATCCCCAAGTGTGCACACCAGGCTCTCACACCCCTCCTTGGTCCCTTCAGCTAACTGACTGACCACCATCCCTCACAGAGCTCTGATCCCATCGCCCCAGGGAGCTATGCCTGGAATCCCCTCCCCTAGAGCTGACTCCAGGCTACCTGTGCTCCTGTAGCTGTTCTCTGAGTGGAAGGGAGCCTTCTTCACAGGCTATAGACCCCAAGAAGATCCCTGGAGTTATGTGACTGCCCCCAGCATGTACCATGTGCTTGATGTCCAGAAGGCCTCCAGGGTCTTTGTGGGGGAAAGCATCCCCTGGACACCTCAGATGATAACACTGGCTGCAGCACGAAGCCCTTTTGCTGCACCCTTCCAAAAACTTCACAGCCATTACCTTAACCAACTCTTACAACTATCCTCTCCAAGGAAGGAAGTGCTGGCTCCAACTCACAGGTGAAGAAACTAAGGCACACCAAGGTAACTGCCCAAGCCCAGATCTGAGGGCTGATGAACAGTGGAGCCAGCACTCAACCCCTGAAGGTGAATTCTAACAACACAGCAGCCTTCTCCCCAGCACAGCGCCTTCTGGGATGGATGGACAAGTGAAGTAAGCCTGCTGATCCCAGCACTTGCTCTGCCTCAGGGACAGCTGGCCACAGCAGTCTCTGACCTGCTGTTACCAGGGAGCTTCTCATTTCCAGGCTGACCTTCCTGGTTCTCAAGGGAACTTGGCAAGACACTAAGCACTGTATCTACCCTGTACCAGCACCGAATGCTTATTCAACAGACACTTGAATTGAGGGTAGAAGGCCATGGTCCTTATGCCCTTCGTGACCCAGTTGTGAACACAGCCCATCCGCTGTCCCTCACTAGAACACACAGCCACTCAGATATCTCAGCTCTCCTCCAACCAGGTACCACAAGAAATCTAGACGGCTTCTCAGGGCTTCCCCATCCAGATCCAAGCCCTGCCAACCCTCCTCCTCCCCTCTGCCTGCATGACCACCCTCCACACCTTCCCAGAGTCTCCAAACTCTCTCCAGCTTATCTTTGCTGAATGGGCAATCAGACCCCTAGTGACCTCACGCTGTTCTCAAATACCTCCTAGAAACCTAGAAATACCTTGGCATTTCCAGCTTCTTTCATGCTGTGTCCTCAATTACCCTACCACTGCCCTTCATTGTTTCCAGAACATGCTAAGCTTGGGTCTACCTCAGTGACTGTGTTCCAACAACTGATTTCTTCTCATCCCTCAGGACTCTTGCTAAACGTTCTTCTTTCAAAGGGGCCTTCACCAATCAGCCTAACCAAACCAGCCACTGGTCCTGCCTTTGTCTCCCTGGGAAGTATGCTTTGAGCAGCACAGAGTTTACCACTGCCTGTAAGCACCTCTGTCACACCATGATGATGCACTTGCAGTACACATGTGATGACTTTAAGGGCATTTCCCCCCAAACCTTCCTCTTTGTTACTGTGATGCCCAGTAACATACTGTGATGTCCTCCTCAGGGGACTCTCTTCCCTACTTCACATCTCACTTAATAATGAACAATCAGGTCAACCAAGCACCCCTCACAGATGAGAAAAATAAGGCCCAGTAAAGATGACTTTCCAGCCCAAAGCACTAACAGCAGGGAGGGGTAGGGAGGAGCAGGGTGGAGACAGATTTCCTGATATGGGTGTACCTGGGACCAGAATAATCTCAAGGGGCAACCGCCAAATTAATCATGACTGCTAATTTCCGGCCAAAGCCCATGCAGTGGGAAGCAACAAGAAGTTCAACATGATGAGCACACAGCCTTTCTACAACGGAGGCTGTTTCACACGGCAGTGAAATCAGGCATGGCAGAAAGCTGCCCTGACCAGGTGAAGGAAAGCAGGTGCTAAGAGTTATCCATTGTATAGTCCCACTAACATGACATGTCCAGAACAGACAAATCCATAGACAAAACAGAAGTTTTCAGGAACTAGGGGAGTTGTGATAATCACTGCTAATGAAGACAGCTTCCTTTGGGGGTAATTTTCTAAAATGTTCTAAAATCAATTGTGAGAGAAAGAAAAACAAATAAAAATTGTAGTAATGACTCTACAAAATTGTGAATATACTAGGAACCACTGAATCATACACTTCAATGGATAAATTGTACAGTGTATGACAAAAACTGTTAGCAAGGGCTGGAGGCATGGTTCAAGTGGTAGAACACCACCTAGCAAGCACGAAGCCCTGAGTTCGAACTCCAGTACCACAAAAAAAGAAAGAAAAAAACCCTGTTACCAAAGAAACAAAAGTTGTCCAAGGCTGCCATATTGAGGCCAGATTCAGGCCTGATGCTACACACCAGCCACTCCAGGGCTGATGACAAGGTACCAGCTAGCCCAGCAGAGCTGAAACTCATGAAGACTCTGCTTTGAGGAGCTCACCCAGATTATCCCTTCCCCATCCCTCACTAAGGACATCCTTGAGGTAAGAAAGCCCTCCTCCACAGTGGGATGTAGGTCCAGGACAGGGCAAAGCCAACATCTGTGGAGAACCCAGGCACCTGCCCTTTCAACACCTTGACTCCCCCATCAAGACACAAGGGGAAGAATTCTCATTGTTCTCAGAGGAACAGAGCTACCAAGAGGGAGAATCTAGACAATGTGCCCTGGTCTGACAGAAGGCAGAAATTCTCACAGCTCAGGCCCATCCACTCACTCACTTCTAAGAAACCTGGCTAGAGGGCACAGGCCACAATCTCTACCCTTGAAACTTCCTATCTCTGCTCCAACCTTACCACCCATTTTGGGGAACAAGTCAGGCTTCCCTCCCACAGCTGCCTTCCCAGAGAACTGGGCTGGGGCCATGGAACAAGTTGGGAGGTACTAGCTAGTGTGATGTGTGGTACTGGGGGCCAACGAATGAGCCTTGGCCCCAAGAGCAAAAGGCATCCTCTTAAACTCTCAACCTCAGGTCATTCTTCCAAAATCAGAAGTAGGCTGAAAGAATTAAATGCAACTGAGTAGGGGGTCA